ACCTTTCCAAGTATGATGTCCTGTTTCAAGGAATAACTTCTCCTAACAATATGCCCAAAGTACATGAAATGAAGCTTCGCCATCCTTGCCTCAAAGGAGCATACTGGCTGCATTTTTTCCAAGACACATGTATTTGTTTTTGGCAGTCTATGGAACACGCAGCACTCTTCTTTTTTTTTTATTTTTAAAAAATTTATTATTAATTTCAGTAAAAATTTACAGAGACTTTGGATATCCATTCATTCATTGTTGCATTTTTCTTCCATCCCAACCCTTCCCCCTAGTACACTACCCTCTTGGGAAAGTAAAAGAAAAATTCTTTCATTGTTTTACAAACCCTCCCCCAGGTCCACTCCACCATGTAGCCTTCACTCTAGACTCCTGTCATGACAAAAATATATAATCACATATCCCTTTTAAAAAGTTTTCTCCCTCATCTGTTTCAATACAGTATACATTATTGAACCCATCTTTCTCAGTCTTTCCCCAACCTTAAGGTCTATCTTGTTTTACAACAGTGGCACTATGCAGTATTATTCCTTTTGTGACTGGGATACTTCACTCAGCATAGCGTCCTCCAGGGTCACCCATTTTGAATAATATTGCATGAGTTCCTTGTTTGTCAATGCAGCGTAGTATTCCATTGTGTGAATATACCACAGCTTCTCTATCCATTTGTTTGATGATGGGCACTTAGGTTGTTTCCAACTCCTTGCTATTGTGAACAAAACTGCAATAAACATGGGTGTGCATATATCTGCTTGGATGTCAGTTATGGTCTCTTTGGGGTATATTTCCAGTAGTGGAATTACTGGGTCAAATGGTATCTCTATTTGTAACATTTTGAGAAAGTGCCATACCACCTTCCACAGTGATTGCACCATTTTAAACTCCCACCAACAGTGAATAAGGGTTCCAGTTTCTCCACAACCTCGCCAGCATTTGTGGCTTGCTGTTCTATTAAATTTTGCTATTCTGACTGGGGTGAGATGCTATCTCATAGTTGTTTTAATTTGTATCTCTCTTAGAGTTAGGGATTTTGAACATTTCTTCATGTGCTTGTTAGCCATCTGAGTGTCTTCTTTGGTGAAGTGAGCAATCTTCTTTAATTCAACTCAACCACAGCTTCTCTAACCACAACTCAAAGATATGGATCTTTCTTCTGTCATCCTTATTCATTATTCAGCTCTCAGATGCACAGAAGGTGACCAAAAAGTTATTGCTTGAATCAGGCACATCTTAGTCTTTAAGGTGACATCACTATTCCTCAGTACTTTAGATAGGACTCTGACAGCAGACTTTCCCAATACAATATATCTTTTGATTTCTTGACTGCTGGTACCAGAGATGTTAATTGTGGATCCAAACAAGATTAAATCATTGACAACTTCAATCTTTTCTCCATCTATCACAATGTTGCCTATTGGCCCAGTAGAAAAGATTTTTGTTTTCTTGATATTGAAACATAATCTGAAAATTTCACTAGAGTATCAAGAAGTCAAAACAAAGAGCTAAGTAAAAGAGCAAAGAGAAAGTTTCAAAAGGCAGCTTGAGAAAACAAAGTATTATAATGGAATGTGCAAAGAGCTGGAATTAGAAAAAGAAAATAACTTGCTTAGCATTTCTCAAGCTGAAAGAATGGAGGGGGTTAGGGAGAATCTAAACTCAAGTTGCAATACTGAGAGAGGCAATGGACAAAATCTTAAACAGTCCAGAAAGCATAAAGGAAGACCAAAGGAATAGAGAGTTACTGTACAAAAAAAAAAGGAAAAAAAATTAGTCGACATTGAAATGTTCCAGGGACTACATATTACCAAGAGCCAATGGTGATGAGGGGAAAGAAGTTCAAGCTGTATTGAAGGCCTTGGCAAAACATAAGGACCCAGGAATTGATGGGATACCACTCACCTGTTTCAACTAACAAATCCAGTGCTTGTTGTGCTCACCAGTCTGTGCTAGGAAATTTGGAAAAGAGATACCACTGGAAGAGATTTGTATTTGTTCCCATTCCCAAGGAAGATGATTCAACAGAAAGTGGAAATAATCTAATAATATCATTGATATCATATGCAAGCAAAATATTGTTGAAGATCATCCAAAAACTACTATAACAATATATTGACTGACAGAGAACTACCAGACGTTAAAGCTGAGTTTAGAAGAGGCCATGGCACCAGGGTTATATCACTGCTGATGTCTGATTGTCCTTGGCTGAAAACAGGAATACCAGGAAAAAAAATCTGTTTTTTTTTTAATTGATTATGCAAAAGCCTTTGACTGTGGGCATCTGTAAAAAGAGCAATGGCAACATGGAGATGGCCATATCTGACCTCTATGAACTCCATAAAATGAACTATCCCCATCAACATCAACACCACAAAACCAATTTCCCATGAGGTCAGACATATCTTACATGCTCCTATACCCCTTTCTACCAATTTCAATTCCAATCATACTGTTACCTAGGACCAAAATCTGTTGCAATAGCTCACAGACCACACAGAACCACACTCATGATTTACAAAGTTTATTAGGAGAGTCAAAAGGCTAATTTTGGTTAGTAGCAACATAAAATCACCAAGGACAGCTTTGGAAATGTGTACACAGGCACCTCAGCCTTTCAGCTTTAGAGAGTATTACAAAGCTTTCAGTCCTGCCTATTATAGTCTCTCCCCACCCCGACCCCAAACCTCTAACAAACTTGAAGTAGGCTCTTAGCTCTAGATCTGTGGAGTGGTCGTCCCAAAGTCAGTTCTGTCTCATGTCAGGCCTTTGACTCTCTGCTGCAGCTGCTGTGGCTGCCGCTCCTGTAGATCCCGGTCTGAGTGGCGCAGGAATCTGTGACGCTGAAGGACAAACACTTTGCATTCTCTTTTTCTGTGATTAATGTCACAAAGTGAGAGAACCAACTCTGGCAGTTAGGGCATTACTTCTCTGTAGAAGAACCTAGTTTATTTACTTCAACATGCTCTTACAGTACTCTCAGTCTCTAAAACATCTACAGCATTAAACAAAGCACCAAAGCCATGCTGGATAGCCAAATACAGATACAGTTCTCACAATATTCTAGAGGATCTTATATCACTATTTAGGCTTCCTTCAAAGGAAAGATATGTACAGTTCATGAAAAGGGCAGCTATCTGTGTTCACAAGGCATTCCTTGGGGTTTTGGGGGTCCCCCCCAAGGCTCTTTTACACAAGGCATTCCTCGTTGTTACAAGGAGTCATGTACAGCTTTGTCCCCACATGACCTCACATTTTTCTTCTTTGCTGGTGGTGATTGATATTCTCCAACATTTGCTGCTGAATCTGATCAGTTTAATAGTGAGATTAGCCAATTTCCTTGTGAATAGGCTAACGCACCCTTTTTTGCATGAACTCACCCATCTATACGGCCAAGGCAAACTCAATGGTAGAAAAGCCATTTTGAATAATAAACGCTTGACACTAAAGGATCCTAACACAGCATTTGACTATGTGTATCACAGAACACTTAATTGTGCTATATGACATTTATACCTAGACCAACACTGTTGTGTAAACCGAGCAAGGGAGCACTGAATGGTTTAAAATCAAGAAAGGTGTGGCTCAGGGGTGAATCCTCTCTCTATAACTGACTGGTCAATCTGTATGCTTACAAAATCATTCAAGAAGCTGGTCTTTAAAACTACTACTGTAGAATGAGTATAAGAATCCAAGAAGAGTGCGAGAGGTTGGAAGCTGCTGAAGGATGAGAATGTGCAGGGAGATGGGGGATTAATCATGGGGTTATACAAGTTGATAGGTGGGAGAAATTGAAAGAATTTGTTCTTGAAAATAATGTATTCAGATTTTGTAAATAAACTAGTAGAAAATTTTAAAAAAAGAAAAGGAGAGAAAAAAGAAGGAGGAAAGCTAGTCTTTATGATGAAGAATATGGTATTAAGATTGGAGGAAGATTAACAACCTTGTTATGCAGATGACACAGCCTTGCTTGTTGAAAACGAGGACTTCAAATACTTGTTGAAGAAGATCCAACTATAGCCTGCAACATGGATTTGCGTATTTGCAGGCTAAAATTGTAATTTCGTGAGTTCACCTCTTCCGAGAAGAGACTTCCCTGCTCACTTTCCATCTTAAATTTTCTTTCTGGGCAAAACAAATCCCACCTGGGAAATTTTGCCCCTTTTCAGAAGCTTTTCTGATTTTAATATAAACCTCTTCCTCTTCACGCTACAAGAGGGATTGACTCGGTATGGTAACAAGAGGTTTAAATTTATCAGAGATCATGAGAATGGCACAGGCTGGGGCAAAGCTCAGATTTGTTGTTTATAAGGTGAGTCATAGTTGACTCGAAACAACAAATCACAATAAAAGTCTTGCTGAGTTTGTTCGTTAGCTCGTACCATATTAAAAGATAAAATAAAAATAAATAACACTGCCTTCAAAGGCCATATGCAGATGGCAAGGAGATGCATTGACAACCCCAAAGTCATGCGGTTCATATCCACCAGGATTTTCCGTGGGAGAAAGATGGGCAATTTCTTCCCGCCCAATTTATTGCCTCTGAAAATCTGCTATCGAATTACTATGAGCCGATTCCGACTCGATGGTACTTAGAGCAACTATTACTAAAATAACGAATGAGGAGTTATGGCCCTGGAACAGTTTCATTGGAAGAACTCAGTAAACTGAGGTCAATCGCTGTTGACTAAACAAAAAAAGCATCCAAAGAAGTCTCAGTAGTACATCACCAATTGCATGGCCCAGCATCAAACGCCTCTCTTCTATAAAAGCGGCGACTTCTCAGTACTCCCACAGAATGGGGAAGAAGCAGTTCACGGAGTCTGGGACTGAATAGCAAAAGCCACAATCCCTGGCTAAACTGAGGGCCAACGCCCTCGTATTCCGGACTACAATTCCCATCAGACTTCATGCGCATTTAGGGATTCTCTACACTTTCCCAACCGCCCTCCGTTGCTCTCCGTACTTTCCAGCAATTGTCTTGAAAATAGTCGTATCCCCGTTACCGGAAGCATCCATTTGACGTCACGAGAGTTTACGTATCGCACGAGGAGAGGGAGTTAGCAGACGGTCCCTGACTGCGTCCTGCCGTCCGGGACCGCGGAAGAGGCTCTGGAGGGCGGCCGGGATGCCTCGCCCGCAGCGGGTCAGTCAGCTCCTGGATCTGTGAGTCCACCCCGTCCCAGCCTTGCTTTTGCGCCGCCCCTGCACCTCCCCAGTTAAGCCTTGCCCTGTGCTCCTTTGCGTCCCCGCCCCCTTCCCTCTCTTCTGGCCTCTGATCTGAAGATCTGCCGGTGTTTATATTCCTGGGTGCCTGGTTTGTCGTCTTCCCGATGAGGACAGTTAAGCAAAGTGGGCTGCTGGACAGTCTTGCTCCTTCGTCCAGCGCTACCAAAGGGGTGTCCGAACTCCTGTCAGAGTTGACAGCACGAAGCCCTTCTAGATCTGGCAGGGTGGCCTGTTTGTGGCAGGATTTGAAAGCCTCGGTAGAACAAAAGGAAACACTAGATGGGTCTCCGAAAGGCTTTCGGCCAAGTTCCACCAGATATGTATTTGCTTTAATTGGGATAGTCTTTTTTTTCGGGCAGTATCTAGCATAGACCTTAAAAAACTATGATTTCTAAAAAAAAAAAAAACTATGTTTTCTTTATTGCGATGGCTTGACTAATCTCTCGGCCCATCCACTCACCATGAATAAGTTACTTTTTTCAGTGCCTGAGTCCTTTATAAATTTATGATAGTAAAAGTACCTATCTCGTGAAGTTGTAGTGCTAAAATAATATAAAGGATAGCTGACAAGTAATAAACTCCTATTAAATGTTGACTGTTATTCTTTCACACTGGAAATTGTGCTGGACGTTGCAGTTAAAACACCAAACTCTTCTCTCCAGAAATTTCATATTCCCATAATACATATTCAATTGCCTTCTACTCGATTCCAACTCATAGTGACTCCAACACACAATGTAATTGCCCAGAAGAGTTTGCAATCTTGTCATCTGTACGGAAACAAAACCTTTTCCCAGCAGAGTAGCTGGTGAATTCAAACTTCTGGAGTAGGTAACCATCATTAGGACTCCATCCAGTCATATCACCATATGAAAATTAAGAATAATAATCCCCTTAATCTACTGAGAGCTTCCTCAAACAGTGAGAATATGACATTTACATTGGCTCTCATGAACTTTTGGTCCTCAGTCCACAGTTTTAGTTGGGGGGAATCTCTTGATCCTCTGTTGTGTGGATTGACTTTTATATATTGTCTTGTTGTTGTTGTTATTACGTGCCGATGATTCGCTTGTGACTCATAGCAACCCTATCTACGACAGCCCCAAACTCTGCTCTGTCCTGTGCCAGTTGTGTGGTCTCTGACACTCCCATCCCGATTACCCCAGTCATTGAATCAATCCACCTCTTAGAGAAGTGTATTTGGGGCGGGGAGTGGAGGGAGGGATGGGGGAATTGCATACCAATGAAGGAATTTTTTTTTCTTCTTTTCAAAGAGAGGAGCAAACTGGTGGGGAGGGGTGGGCAGGGAGAAAAGTGCAGCAATGAATGAATGGAAATCCAAAATCTCTGTAAATGTTTATTTAAATTAATAAAAAAGAAAAAAATCAACCTCATAGAGGGCCTTCCCCTCCTGCATTGTCCCTCCACCCTACCAAGCATGATGTCCCTCTCCAAGGACCGGACTCTCCTAACAACATGTCCAAAGTATGTTAGACCCTCAGAATCCTTGCCTCCAAGGAGCCTCCCAGTTTAACCCTTTCCAGGATGAAGCTGTTTGTTTTCCTAGCAGTCCATGGTACCCTCAATACTCTTCTCCAGCACCACAGCTCAAAGGCATCAATTCTCCTTCTATCCTCCTTAGTCATTTTTTTTTCTAGACACTATATAGATTTTAGTGTCTAGAAAAAAAATTGCTCTAATTCTTGGCATAAACTTTACACCTCATCCAAATGAAAATTTCTTTTTTAGTATATACTGTTTAGAATAATGGTTAAATAACTCAAGCTAGGAATACAGATTGCTTGAGTTTGGTAAGGAGTTGTTGCATTGCCAACACAAAGGTGCACAGTTCTAATCCTTTAGCTGCCTCAAGGGAGAAAAGGTGGACAATCTCAACTCCTTTGATTTACAGGCTCTGAAAATACCCCAGAGGGTCAACTGTGAGTTAATTATAACTTGACAATACCAACAACAACAGCAGCAGCAATATTTCTACAACAGCAACACAACTCATTGCTGTCAAGTGAGAAGTGAGTCATAGCTACTGCTCCAGTGGATTATCAGAGGCTGTAAAGTGCATGAGAGGAGAGTGTCTATCTTTTTCCCTTAGAACAGCTGGAAGATTAAAACTGCCTGCCTTTGGTAAAAGGTGAAAGATTTATACAAATTGCCTTCCTTTGGGTTGGCAGAGCAACTCCTTACCTATTAGGCCTCCAGAGCTCCATTTCTTCTGTAACTTTGAGCAAATTACATAACCTATCTGGGTTTCAGTTTTCTCATTTGTAAGTGGGGAACAGTGATAATATTGGCAACCATATTGAGTTGTTTTGAAGATTAAAAACCACAGTAAAAAAAAATTGAAGGGCCTTCAGCCATCTTAAGAAATAAAATATGATCAAGAACTAATGATATTAAAAGAAGTCCAGGCTGCATTTAGGGCATTGGCTAAAAGCAAAGTATCAAGAAATGATCAATTGTCAATATACTGGAAATACTCACCTCTGTATGTGAAGAAATTTGGAAAACAGCCTGGCCATCCATCATTTGGAATAGATTGCTATTTGTGTAGTTTTCTAAGAAAAGGGTTCCAACAAAATAATAATAATACACTGTGGTGTTAGCTTAAACTTTGGCTTATTCGAAGCCATTATATTATCCCCATCTGGTCTCTAGCTACCTTAACTGCAGACACATGGTCTTAACAAATCACCAGTAGCTGTGGGACTAGGATAAGTGAGAGCGAGCTTCCCACGCTGGGCAGCAACACTTGAGGGAGATTGGAGGAAGACCCTGATGATAATGGTGGAAAGACTGGCATTTCTGTGGAGTTTGTGGCAAGGTATAACCAGAGGACCCTTGAGATGAAGGCCACAGTTAAAGGTTTTGCTGTGCTTCCCAGATTATTAAAGAGAAGCTGTCTTGTAACTACTCTAAGACAAACCTTGCTGGACGATTGAGGAAACCAGAAGCTTTTTGGATGGACTGCTGAATTGAAACCTGAGCCTGGACTAATTGAGAAATCATGCCTTGGGACTTCTGGGCTAAAACTTGAATTTCCATTGGGTGATATTCTTTGCCTCCCCCACTCTCCAACTTATTTCTCTAATAAACCCCATTCTCAGCACCACAACTGTGAGTTAAGTCTATGAGTCAACAAAAAATATTGAACCTCCTGCTACTGGTGTGGCTCTAAAGGCACCATGGGGTCAGGCTATGGGCTCTTAATCTATTTTCAATTCTGGGGCAGTGAGGGACTATGCTATTCTCACTTCTTCTGGCTTTTTCAGAGATATGCTTATGGTCCTGTGCCCTTATGCCCTATTTTCTGTTCTGAAGACACACATACACACACACACATGTAAAATTATACTGAAAATCATTCAGAAATGGTTGCAGCAGAACATCAACAATACTTCCAGAAATTCAGGCCAGATTCCAATAATGGTGTAGAACAAGGGGGTTGTAGAACATTGCTTACATCAAATAAATCTTGCTTGAAGGCAGAGAATTGACTGTACGGAGACATTAAACTGTGTGGGTCATATTAAATTATGACTAACATTGCAAAGAATGAGAATTCCAGAACACTTTATTTTACTAATGAGGAAATGTGTACTTAGATCAAGAGGTAGTTGTTCAAACAGAACAAGGGGAAACTGCTTGGTTTAAAATCAAGAAAGGTGTGCATCAGGATTATATCGTTTTACCATACTTATTCAACCTATAGGAGGATGTGGTATCAGGACTGGATGAAGATTCATTAACAACTTCAGTATGCAGATGACACAACATTACTGAAAGCTGAAAAGACTTGAAGTACTTAATGATGAAGATAAAAGTCTACAGCCTTTAGTATGTATTAGAACATAAAGAAAATCAAAAGTAAAACAGTATGCATAATAAATCAAGAAAATATTGAAGTTGTCAAGGATTTGATTTTACTTGGATCATTGCCCATGACTGCAGCAGTTCAAAAATCAAATAATGTATTACATTGGTAAATCTACTGCGTAAGGTCCCTTTAAAATTATATAGTGCTAAAAAAAGCAAAGATATTACTTTGAGGATAATATACACTTGACCTAAGCCATGAAATTTTTTATCTCTGTATAGACATGCAAATCTAGATAGTGAATAAGGAAGACTGAAGAACTAGTTACTGAGTTACAGAGTCAATCCATCTCATCAAGGGTCTTCCTTTTTTACGCTGTCCCTCCATCCTCCCAAGCTTGATGTCCTTCTCAAGGACTGGTCCCTCCTTGCAACATGCCCAAAGTATGTGAGACAGAGCTTCATAATCCTTGCCTCCAAGGAGCAGACTGCTTTCACCCTCTTCAGGACAAACCTGTTGATTCTCCTAGCAGTCCATGGTATATTCAATATTCTCCAGCACCACAGCTCAAAGGCATTAATTCTCCCTTTATCATCCCTAGTCATTGTCCAGCTTTCTGATGCATAGCACATAATTGCGAAGACCATGGCCTGGATCAGGTGCACCTTAGTCTCCAGACTGGCATTGCTCTTCAGTAATCTGGAGATGTCCCTGAAAAATGGAGATACCCACTTCCAAAATAACAGACCTTCAAAAACTCTAGCTATGATAAGAGTACCCTTGGAGTAGAGTAGCAGATATGTTAATTGAGTCTGAGACCTCAAATATGGAAATAGAAAGGAGAAGAAACAGTTGTAAACAGACTAGTGATTGGAACATAGAATGTGAGAAGCATTAATATAGAAAAGTTGGATATTGTTAAGAAAGAAATGAAAAAAAATAAATATTGACATACTAGGTTTTGGTGAAATGAAAATGACTGACAAGGGATATTTTGAATCAGACAATCATATGATCTCCTATGCTGGAGATGAAAAGGTGAGGAAAAATAAAGTTGCTTTCATAGTTAAAAATTTATTTGTATATCTATCTTGAAATACAATTT